GAGGGGACATGTCATCTCAACAAGACATAGCCTCCTCCTTAATCATGGCCACCATTTCATGTACAGCACTTGCTATCTCACTCACTGTATTTAGCTCACAATTTTCTTCCACCTGTCTCATGTAAAAATACAAAATAATTAGACCCCTTTATAAATCCATCGTTTTTGCCAATATAATAATAATAAAAAAAAAAAAAAAAAAAAAATTAACAACGAACACCTTTTATAGTTAATTAATTAAAAAAACAACTAATTATATTTTAAAAACACAGGTTTCTATCTTTTGAAACTCTTTCGGGTTGTTAGTTGATTGGAGTTATGCATGTATTAATTATGGAAAAGTTAGTTATTTATGTATTAATTATTTCATCGTCTTATACATAAAATAACTTATACATGTATTAATTATGCGACTTTCTAAACTTTCAATTAAACATTTACATGAATAACTTATTTTCTATCTACTCACGAAATGTCGTTAAAGTTATAAAAAAATTAATACATGAATAACTTGTGAATTATCCAGCTACCAAACGATCCCCTTAAGTTTTGACTTTTCAGTTTTACCCCGTAATGACATGCATGCTCTTATAGTCATAAAAATGACCTATACAACAAGTCTAAAAAGGGTATTTTCGTATGTAAAGAAGTCTGATACGTCTTTCTTTCTTAAATTTCGTGAAATAATTTTAGAAAATTGAGCATATATACTAACCTTGACACTAAATGTGTATAGTACCATATGATCAGCTGTTGTAACACTAAGGTGAAGTATAGTAAGGCACATTGCTTGTAACCAATTAACAATTTTCAACAATTGTTTTGGTCTTCTTCTTGATAACACCTTAACATTAGCATGACGGTCCACCATGGTCACCTCGATATCGGCGGCCGCCGACCNCCCCCCCCCCCCCCCCCCCCCCCCCCCGCCTCTCCTCCGTCGTTGACCCCTCATTGTTGGTGGCGGCCGTCAACGGGTGATTGTTGTTACCGGTGGAATATTGAGGGAACGTGAAGAATTTAGAGAACGGACTATACTGAATATGTTGTTGGTTTGTTGTTATGACTTGTTTATGTGCTTCCAAAAATTGGAGGAGTTGTTCAAGTTCTTTAACAAAATTAATTGCCCCTCCAACAATTGATGCTTGGTCACCCTGTTTACATTATGATCACAAATAAATTAAAATATAAATAACTATCGATTAAATTATCGTATCAATTATTTATTTAAAATAAATGTTTTACTACTTTATACTTAATTGACTTTAACTACCAACCAGGATGTTTCCTAATCTTTAGGGCAATTTATACGTTTTTAAAAAAAAACTAATAAACATGACCTACCAGTAATTACCAACTCAAATAATACACTTGATTTAATCTAAGAAATTATACAAGAAAATATAGATATATCCTTAATTAATATACTAAAAATGATGCAATAATTAACAATAATAACTATGCATCAGTCTCGATCAAAGTTTTGATGCTGGAAAATGCTTTAAAACAATAGAAATAATAAAAATAGCAACAACAATATTGCACTAGTTGTATGAAAACTCTTTACAATACATAAAGGATTTAAATTATATACAGTAAATTATATATAAAAAAATTACACTATCAATGAATTTTAACCCATAATAACACGTTATGTACTATATAAATTTTATCATGTTATTAATTTATGTTTATTAAAAAATTTATCTAATTTTCCTTGTAAATAACTTAATTGTCTAAATAACTTTCTATAACATCAGCTATATCAGTGTATAACATTTAAACTCAAAGAAAAAAACCCACTATCATGACATATGATGCTATAATAATATGTCTAGAATAATTTCACAGGTGGCGTGTCTATTAAATATAATTTTTTTTTTAAATTGTCAACTTGTCTATTATTAATAAAATGCATGTCGTTACGTTCGTATTAGAAAAAAAAAAAAATTACCCGTTGAGCGTAAGACGGCGGCATTAACGACCGGAGTACAGCGAGGTAATCGTTCATTTGCCGTCGACGATTTCTCTCGACGGCAATGTGAGTCATCCTTTGATTATGTATTTCTTCCTCGTTTTTCGCGCATTTTGTCCGCCGCCTTTTTCTCCGCCCTGAAACCACCGTACTTTCCACCGGAAAATATTTATCCGGTGAAGAATTATTATTGTTATTGTTGTTGTTATCGTCGTCGTTGTAAGTTTGTGGAATTGAAGAATTAGAAGAATCCCAATTATACCCCTCATAGCCAAAATTACCATAATCATGAAAAGTTTCAAGATTGTAAAAATTACAATCTTTGTGGCTATAATTGAAAGGATCTTGTTGGAAAACAACAGTTTCAAGAGCCATTTTTTAAAAATAAATAAATATAGGCTACTATTGAAATTTTTCTTCCTTTTTTTTTCTCTCTTGAAGATTTTGTCTAATTTGTGTAAAGGGTTCATGGGGTTTGGTTCACTTATATAGGATTGAAAAAATGGAAGAAATTAAGTAAGAAAATGCCAAGTTGTATTGTACCAATTAATTAATTTTAGTACTATAAAAAAAAAAAAGGTAAGCTACAGAAACTCTTACACGTGAGAAAAACTAATAGAGGAACATTCGATTATTAGTTCATTAATTAGTAATTAATTAAATACAGGGGCGGAGCTACACCTTAGCATACGTGATCAGATGAACAACCTTCGTTGAATTTTTTTTGCGAGTATACATGTTAAATATTGATATTTCGATATATACTAATTTATGAACAACCTTATCTTACTAAAGAAAGATAATCCAATGGTTGAGGTGGTTCAAAGTCGCCTCAAGGGCTTGGGTTTGAGCCCAGATTAAGGTGTTCTGTTTATTTTCTTTTTTAGTTTCATTTTTTAAGAGAATAAAAATGACGTTTCAATCTTTATAATTTGACCAATAATATTTTGTTTTTTTTACTTAACACCCTTGACGAAAATTTCGACTCCGCCACTGATTAAATATCCTCTTGTTGATGAGGGGAGAGGTGGGGGTGGTGGGATTGGGGGTGGGGTATGCTTGTCTAAACAAGAATAAGTGGAAGCGTTTTGAGCTTCTTATATATATTATAATAAATTGCGTACATTAGTATTTCTTAAAAGGATTTTTTTTTTTTTTGAATTTTACGTAAATATAAAATATTTTGTGTATTGTGTGATTTTTTGTTTCTTATATGAGCTTGTTTGATGGGAAATATTAGAGTGGCTAGTATAGATTTTAGATATATTGAATGACAAAAGAAATAAAATGATATTATATATAAGCTTTGACGATAGCTATAATGACAAATACATTTTTTTAGCCTTTAGGAGTAGTCCTTTGATCGTGTATTGTTGAGTTTGTCGTATATAAATTGTTTTTTTTTTTGGGATAGTATTTTAATTTCTTACATAATATTGAAGAATTTTTATTTAATGAGCTAGTTTTTGAGATTGAGTCGGATTAAATTCATTTCTTTCCATGTTTACTACATACAAATATTATTATATCAATATTATTGAAAATTGTTATGCAATAGCGATATTTTCATGATTACAAACTTTATATTATAATTAAAGAGATTTACTTGTAAATATTTTTTGATAGTATAAAAAATTCCAACAATGCCCTCCACTTACTTCTTTGAAGTCAATAATGCCACTTTTTTCATCACGAAAACTATGTTGGACACATTAGTTATAAGAAATATATGATTTCGAAAGTGATAACAATTAGCAGTTCAGACTCAACTTTTCGCTTTATATTAGTGGATCTATAGATTGAGCCAAAATTCTACAAATTAAAATCACAATATATATAACTTGAATTCTTATTATAAATCTTATCCCCCCCAGAGCTAGCCACCCAATTACACAAACTTTCTTCCCTTATAAGAGAAAAGATGCTGGAGAATATTTTTTTACGTATTTTGATATAGCATTGTTTTGTCTTTATTTGGTTGATAACATTTACTATATCTTATTAGTATGACATGCATAGTGAATCTTTTTATTAGCTTTGACTAGAAAAAGTTATCACAGATTTAATTTGAGTCAGTGTGGATGCTGTCTAGTAGGAGCAAATGAATATATTCATGTGACATACCGTACAAAAAAGAAGAAGTTGTATCTTAGTAAAAGATCTCGAATTTGAATTACGTTGATACAAAATTATATATATATATATATTTGTTATGAAGTTATTTATTTTTAATGTGAGACTTTTCAATATGAAATTGTAATCTAATCGACCCTCGATATGAATATCAGACATCAAATGAGAAATTCAAAATAAAAAAGATAATTGTGTAATAAGCAAGATTTATATAACCTGAAAAATAAGTTATGATAATTATTGATTTATAATATCTAAGATGTTTTATAATCGGTGGAAGGTATAAGTTGAAGATATATATATATATAATATTTAAAGTATTTTGTTATGTATGCATGTGTGTATTTATAGTAGAAGTTCAATCTCCTTGCTTATTTTTGTGTCTATTTTTTAAATTATTTTTTTTATTGAAAATTAATCTATATCCTAAAGTTTAAAAACAAGAAAATAACAAAAAGACAAAACATTTTTCCTCTTTCCAAAGACACTTGGTTTCTGCTTGCAATTACCCCAACATCTGCTTTCTAGGTTGTAGCTTTTTAACTATCAGCCTTTTAGTGTTAAACTCCAATTTCAATGAAACTTTTCATTTCACCTATATATATATAATATAAAAAATAATTATAATAAAAAATAAAAATAAAATATATATAAAATATGTATCTAAAGACCATAGTTATCAGTTAGTCTTACGTATGCGAACAAAGTCTCACGATAGTATAGTGAAAAAGAAATTGAAAAAGTACGTAGCTTGTATAGTGATATTGTCAATGTATAAGGTCTTATGGGAAAGCGGTGAGAGATTGGCTCAAAACATAATATTATATTACATCATATATTAAGAGCATATTTAGATTGTTTTAGTCTAATACATGATAATAGAGTCAATAGTTCGATGAAACGAGTATCATGATGATGGTATGAAGCCGGACTTAGTATCTTTGTTTGTCTATTGACCGATTTGCTATCATTATCCGTAGCTTTGAGTACAAATACCAAGAAGAAATAGATGGGAGTTGGTGGGCATAAATAAGTTTATAATTAGGTGTTATTCATGTGAAATTTAGTTCGAGGAGACTGTCGATGTGCAAATAAAATTTCACATTAGTAATTGAAAAAAATGAAGTCGTATATAGGGTGTGTTTGGTATTTTTGAAAAATATTTCCTTTGGAAAAAAATTCTTTAAAATGAGAAAAATGATTTTCCGATTAAAATAGAAAAAACAAGTTTCGCAAGTGTCATTATGCATTAATTGTCCCTTCAACACAATCTAACCCCATCCCCTCCCCAATAATACTTATTATTTATGTGTCAAATCCAAGAAAATAAATACGAAAGTCACTTATTATTTTATATAACATTTTCCAAAAAAAAAAAACATTTTTTGTGAAATTAAAACATTTGTCTTCCTAATTCACTCAAAGTGAACAATATCACATCATATTACGAGTATGTTTAGTTCTTTTAAGTACTAAACGTCCACTTCCTCCCCACTAATCTAGTTTCTGTCGTGCCTTAATTTAATTTAAAACCACACAACTATATGTTTTAAATTTGTTTAATTATTTACCTTATAGATAATAAACTAATTGAACCTAAAAGTAAACTAAAATGATTAACTGTGTACGTGTGGACCAAATTATAGCACCAATTCCTGTTGATTTGGAGAAGATCAATTATATATTGAAGGACCACACATTAATTACTAAATTAAAAATTTGGTATATATTATTATGATTATGATTATTATTATTATTATTATTATTATTAAATTAGACATTAAGAGGAATATTAGGAGTTTAATTTAAAGCTTATGTCAAAGATTTTGTATCTCTATATCTTAGTCAGTAATTAGACCGTGGACTGTGGACTAATCATACTTTTTGGTTTGGATTATATTACCAAATTAATAGATTTGCAGCTTAGAATATGAGATGAAGAATCCTTTCACAAGTAATAATTAGGAAAATAATTGCTTGGTTTTTTTAAAAATAAATAAAAATAAATAAATGAATGAATGAATAAACCAAAATAATAGTCAATCTTTTAATTAATAATTGTGATAATTGAACATTGATAAAAAAAAATGGAGTTAGTAATTTTTCAAATTATTTATCTCTTTGATGATTGTTCAATTAATATCACAACGTGTACCAAACGGTCCTTAATTGTGGCAAATGTGCAAGAGTATATTTCATATAGCCACAACTTTGGGTCATGTGATTAGGTTTAACTGTTAAGGTATTATAATCTGTTTCGACATAATTTAGGGACATCATAATTTTTTCTCAATTTTATTGCTTTATATTTAATATAAACGATATCCAACCGTTGAATTCTGAACTTGTCGCCTTTTTAATGACCTTCAATCTTCTCTTTTCATTTCAATATAAAATTTACCCTGGCTATATATGACAAGTTCTATAATGAATATTCTTTCGAGCTCAATTATCAATCGTTTATAGGACTTTATGTTTGCCTCTATAAAAGGGACTCAACGTCCTCTGTGAGGTTTGTTCCATTACTATGTTAAGGAAAATATCGACTTACTTGTAATGAATAGTCCAGACACAATTAGCAAGGAGTTCTTCGCTCTTATCGAATCTTTGAACCTTTAAATTTTACCCATTAAACTTTAAGCCTTTAATTCAACTTTCAATAAGCGATTCGACAGTTAAATCCTAAACACAACCCTTTACGACCAAATAACTTTTCCTTTCCATTTTGAGATTTAAAAACAAGCTTCACAAATCATAATGACCCCCTTTCAAATTCACC